CTCCCACCGGTGGGGAGGACAGATGGAAAAGCTCGGCGTTCCCACGGCCTCTCTCCCAAATTGGGGGGGAGATAAGTGGGGTGGGTGCCAGCCTGCAGCGGGGACGTGATCCAAGCCCCCCGAAGCCACACAGCATCCCTGAGGCAGCTCCCAGAGCCAGGGGGGAGCATCACGAGCCCTGATGAGCTGCCTCATCTCAGCCAGGAGGGTTTTGGTGGTGGCACCATGCTGGGGTGCCCCAAGCATGTGCAGACACAATACCCAGCCTGAAAAAATCCCATTTCTCCCTTCTGCTGGGATTAGGCAGCTCATGATAGCAGAGCAGAGCAAAGCAGCAACCCCCCAGGATACCCCTGTGCATGGGGCCGCCGCCGCCAGCCCTCGTTAAGTCAATGATCTTCGTTTCACTGCACACCTCCATGCCAGCGGCTCCTGGGGAAGGAGTCAGGGCTGGGGCATCCCAAAATAAGGGACCCAGGATTTCCAAAATAAGGGCTCGGAGGGTGGCCTGGTGGCAGTAGAGCATCCCAACCCAGCGTGCCCAGCTCTGCCACTGACCAAGAGGCCAGGCAGGGACAGGGAACGTACCAGCTGGTGAAATATTTTGGAGAAATATTTCCCTAAAGAGAAGCCATGGCAGCTGGCTTGCTGGCAGAGCAGGAGAAACCCCGTGTTTTAGTCTCGTGTAGGCTAAAGACTCCCCAAAAGCACTTTGCACACTCCAGGGAATGCTGCCGGAAGCTCATCATGACCTTGCACTTCTTTAAAAGCAAAATTGGACCGTCAATCTGGTTCCAGTTCCCTCCTGAACAGGCTGGCTGCATCTTCCAACTACTGTCTGGCATCTGCCGGTGCAGCCTGGTCCCTCCGGAAAAGGAGGATGAGGCTGCCCTGCTCACTGTGGGCTCAGTCCTGTCCCAGAAGAAAAGAAAAGAGAGGGGGAAAAAGAGAGGGGGGGGAAAAGAGAGAGAAAAAAGAGAGAGGGGAAAGAGCAAGAAAAAGGAGTGAAATGTGAAAAAAAAAGAGCAAGGAAAAAAGAGAGGGGAAAAAGGGGGGGGGGGAAGAGAAAAAAAGAGAAAAAAGAGAACAAAAAGAGAAAAAAAAGAGGAATTTTAAAAAGGGGGGGGGGGAAAAGCCTGTCATGCAGGTTTCAGACTTGCAGCATCCCCTCAAGTGGTTAAAGAATAATGATGTTATTCTTCAGGGGTTGAAGTGGGGCTGAGCAAGCGGGTTTCAAGCGACCCGGCCACGCGTGTCCCCATGCCAGGGAAGCAGTCCACGGCGGTGGCCAGGGATGGCAAACCTGGCCATGAACACACCACGTTTTGCAGCATGCGCTGCAACCCTAACCCACGTCCTGACCTCTTGCCAGGGGCAGCTCTGGGTTGCTCTCCCCACAGCATTTTGGGAGGGGATGGGGACCCTGCCCCAGCCCAGCTCAGCAAACCTCCACAGTCCAAGGCCAGACCCCCCCAGCAAGAGCCAGGCAGACGGAGACGGACAGACAGGCGGACAGGCAGATGGACAGCAGAGGGAGCCTCAGGCCGAGCAGAGTGCGGAAGCATCCTCAGGAGACCCATTTTGTTGCACCCCATCAGGGGTGACGACCCATCCCGGTGGCTTATCCCAGCCCAGAGGTCACCACGGTCTGGGCAGGGACCGGCAGCAGTTTTTGCAGCGTGCAGACGGACGGACTGCAGGCAGGGAGTTTCTGACCTGTGGCTTCCTTCCTCCCCCTGCTCGCATCTCGAGGAAAGGTCTCCGCAAACCGGTGGAGGACCCCGGGTCTGAGATGTCCCAAGTGAGAAGGCTTCAGCCCAAAAAGATTAGGCACAGCTGCGGAAAGGGCTTTAATGCCAACAGTGGATCCTGCTGCCAAGAGATTGAGCCATGGAGGGAAAGACACCCCACAGGGTACCCCCCGCTCAGCCATGTGCCCCTGGAGCTGGGGAGGGATGGAGCTCATTTCATCCCCATGACACAGCTCCCAAGGAGCAATCGGGGGCTTTAATTAACAAATTCGCCCATTACTGGGCTATTTTTATCCATTTTCTGTTTGCCGAGTCCGGCCCTGACTTCCCCCAGCCCTCAGGCAGGATGGCTGCAAATTGCCTCTTGCTTTTGGCCACCACTAAAAATGTCCCTAGTCCCTTCAGAGCATCTGCGCCCGAAGCACCCACACACAGCATTGCATTGGGGGTTACTCCATGAAATGGCCCCCTGGGACCAGCAAGAAGGATGTCTGGGGTCAGCCCCGGGATGCAAACACACCGCAGCCCCACGACCTTTCCAGAGCCCACCGGCACTTCAGCAGCTTGCCGAAAGCTTGCTGGATTGCCACCAGCGATGGCAATATTGCTGTAGGGTGCTCAAGAAAGCATCCACCTCCAAAGGTCACAAAAGCACAGCACAGCAAGCGCTTGGGACCGCCGCTGATGCCCCATCCGTACATCTCCCCTTCCATGGATGCTGCTGGGGAAGGAAGGAAGGAAACCTTGACACCGGCACAGCCAAAATGCTGGAGGCGGGAGCACTCATACACCAAGCAGAAAAATTCAGCGACTGTCAGCAGCAGATGGCATCTATAAATCCTATCGATGTTTGGGATTTTATCCATTCTTCATCTAAAAGCCCAAACAACAGTTAAAAGGCCCTCATCGAGACACACACTGAGGATATTGGCCACATCCCGAGCCGCTGATGTCCCATGCGGAGACAGCCCTCGGGGAGAGACAAGTGGGACCTGGCCCATAGACGGGCATTCAGCCAGGGAGACGGGAAGGCAGGGGCTTGGGATGAGGATGCACGGGGGCCGAGCCAGCGTGAGTGACGGCACCCATCACAGCCCCAAAAATGATGCAGGTGTCAGTTTGCTGGGACCTGCCTCTGGGCCAGCGTTTCCCCCCAGCTCCAGCTGCGCAACACCACCGAGGCCCTGGGACCACAGCGTTCCTAAACATTTACTCATAGAGAGACAGAAACATCCTCCCAGCAAATTCCTCGATAAGATAAACCATGAAAATGTCACGACTGCCTCAGGGAGCCATCAAATAACCCCGAGGGGGAAGAAAGGTGGCCGTGCCCACACGCCCGCTGTTACCTGCATCCTCCTCCCACTCCTGAACTGAGCAGAGACAGAGGCACCCGCTGCACTGGGGCATCCATCCTACTCATCTA